GAAATGATAATAAAATAGAAAATTTTTTATTTATAATAATTAAACATCAGTTTACAGTACCTTCTGTTTTAGTTGAAGATAAACGAAGCATTAAAACATCAGGATTTTGATTGTTAATCATTTGTGTAGTAAAATCAAGTACAATTAATAATTTTTCAATTGTTCGATTTACATTCTTTATGACAATATACATTTGATCATTCGATAAGATGCGTTCATTCAATTGTTCATGTTCTTGTTTTAATTCAATAACGTTCAATTGTAATGAATCAATTTCTTTTCGATTCTAAAATAATGAAAAAATTACAAAATATACATCTTTTTACGCACTAAATATTTCGATAGGATAACATCTGTCTCCGTATAAAATTGATGATTGCTGACAAATAGCAATTTGTGATAGACTACAAGTAAAAACAGATGACGGATGGACTACAAAGAATTGGTCACTGTGTAATCTGTTTATATTTTCATCAGAGTAAGAATTACATTGAAATTCTCTGAAAAACAATGCAATTTTGATTCTCTCATTCCACCTGTTTGAAGGAAGAAAGTTTTGAAGTTTTTCATATTGAGATACAATAGGCACAGTGTGACTCTTTAAAATAAAAATAATCCAAACCAGATACATTTGATTTTGAGAGAGTTAAAAGAATTTTACGTTATGACATAAAATAACTTTCACAAAACGATAATTTACAAGCACATTACACAGTGACCAATTCTTTATGGTTCGTTACTACGATACTTCCCATGTACTTCTTCTTTATCCAAAAATCGCGATAAATATGCAGATTGTCTCACTGTCATCCTCATTTCAGCGATGTATCCAGCATTAGGGCAAGAGTGGGCCATGGCCCAGCCCATAGACATTTCGTTTTCTTCAATTGAAAGTATACAAGTAAGTAAGTTACTTCTTTACTAGTAACGAGTAACTAAGTTCGTGACTAGTTACAAGTAAAGTAAAGGTAAAGTGCCATCCTTATACATAAGTTCATTTTTGGCGTGTTATTGTGACAACAGACTATTTGTTTATTTTGATTTTATCGTGATATCATCCATTTCATCTTGACCAACTTGTCTGCCTCGATAAAATGAGCGGTATCACGATATAGTTCTAACAAAAGATTCAATGTTAAAAAAATAATTTAATAACTAGTCTGTTACGCGATAACGCATCAGAAACGAACTCCCTATCGTCGACATCGAGACAATACAATCGAAAAACAACTACATGAGAATTTTGA